ACTCCTCTGCCCGTCCTCTGGGTACGGCCGTCAATGCCCTCATTCCCACGCTGTGTGTGTGTGTGTGTGTGTATCATCTCTTCTCTGCTCCAAAAATGGCAGAACTCCACATCAGCATCTGCCTTCATTAAAAGTAATTACAGAGTCTTGCTCATATTGGGCTCACTCACAGACAGAGCGTTGCGGCCCACATGAGCTGACTCAGGATCAGGGAGGCCCCTCGACCCCAGGCAGTCCTGTTCACTGGTCAATAAATAAGAACTAGCACACACTGTAAAGCTTTAAATAAACTTGTTTGCTGCTTTTCGTGTCACGCCTGGTTAAAGCACAGTCGGAAAGAACGACACTGAATGAGGGAGACCAATTCAAACCAATAAATCATTGGTTTTGTTAATAGTAGTAGTTTAGATTTACTTGAACCATTTGTATCCAACAAAATCGCTAGTGTTTTACAATGTCTTCCATTGACATTGGTAGAAATATTCCAACGTTCGCAAATCGTTGATAGGTACCTCAAAAAAATCTGGTATTTTTAAAAACAGATTCCATAACCCTAGTTTTTTTAGATGGACCTTATGAAACATTCATATCCAGACCATCATTCTGTTAAGACTTGATGTGTTTCTCCAAATCAAAGTCTTTCCTTTGAAATGACTCTAAACTGATTTTATCAATAGTTTATGTTCATTTGAGCCATTCGTATCTAACAAAACAGCCCCACTTCGGGAGGAAACTCTGGTTGGTGGAAACTAACACGCAGCCTAGATTTAGTTGTATCAGTCCTCCAGTGGGTTTCACACAAACAGTGGGGTCATGATGCGGAAATCTCAGCATTCATTTGGGCTTTTATTTACAACTTCCATTGCGCCCCATTTCTCTCTCTCTTTCTCACTGCCGCGCGCTGAAAAGCACCAGAGTCCAGTTTCGCCCGCCGGCCATAAGCCTTTGTCACTCGTTCATCTCATCCCTTGTTCCGCCGTTCGGAAATTCCAAAGGTGAATTAAATACAGTATACCGCCCCCATCTCCCTTTTGCCCTCCCTTCGTCTACCTTTTTGTCCTTTCTCGGTTTACTGTTCGATGTGAAATTGGACAGTAATATTTACTCTTCAGTGAATCAAAGGAGATGCTCTGCCTGTTTTTTCCTTCCATGTCTTGTGCACAAATCTGATACTTTTTCCCGAGACGCTCTGCCAAAGCAAAGAAAAGACACCATTCCTTTCTCTTTTTTTACCCTCATTTCGTCTGAAAAGGAGAAATGCAAAATGCAATAATGCGTCCGGTGCATGAAACGGAGGGAGTGCTTGACTGACCCTCTTTGTGGAAAACATGATCTCTCTGGGCTTGTTCTCACAGGCAATCTATGTTGTGTGTGTTGTTTGTTCTCTATTTCTTTCTCAACCTGCTTTATTTTTTTGCTCCATTCCCTTTTGTGTGATCGTGGACATACAATCGCAGAAGCCCTTCGCATGTAAGGATCGTTGTAAGTGGAATTGGGTTGTGAGCATGTTTGGTTGGGGAAGTAAGTACTGGAATAAATATTTGTTGGGAAGCCTGGCGACTCTCTCCATTGAAACTCAACAGATGCTGAGTATCTGATATAAACACAAAACCTTTAAAAGCAGACGAAAATAAATGAGATATCTGATTCAGCTGGAGATTGACCAGAATTTAAAAAAAAAAAAAAAAACTGATCCAATACATTTTTATTTTTATTTTCTGATGCCAGATATGTAAAACCAACTATTATTATTTTTTTTATATTTTATTATTCAGTAATAACTATCATTGCAATGAATACATACGCATTAAGTATACTTTAGTTTATATTTACAGCAATTATTATTATTATTAGAATCCACAAGCACCTTTGCATATTTCTACTAACTAAAGCCATTTTAGCCTTTGAATGAACCAAAAACATGGGACATCGACATGTCCAATATTTGCCGACCTGTAACAGAATTCAAGGCTGCAATCTCAGGTGCGAGTGCCTCCATGTCTTTTACCTGGGTCTTTAACGTTTCATTACCGCAGTAAAGACAGACAAAGTTAAACGCAGTGAAACAGAGAGCCTCTCAACGCTGAAAAGAATCCATTGATGTAATGTTCACTGACTCTGAGATCAAAAGAATCTCCTCTGGATCAATTTTTCCTTCGCTTCGGAATCTACCTTTTCTCATACCACTCTTTAATTAAATGGGACATTGTTGTCTAGGTATGAAAAAGGGCCAATTCAGGCACGTCATAGCAGAGGAATCCAGACTGGCCTATACCTGACCCCCCTCGAGACTACAAAAGCCGTCGTCCAGCCCGTCGGCTCACCTCCTCACGTTCAAACCAGGTGAACCATCAGCGACTGAGATGGACCTGTCAGATCATGAGAACGAGGGAGTATGGGGCGAGGAAAGGTGGATAGATGTGTTCTCCCCTCCTCAGGACGTGCCCGAGCACCCTCCATTCATGCGGCAGGGGGGTGATACCTTGAGTGTTCAAAGCGGGAGTCTGAAGCAGAGAGACTTGTAGATCTGAAGGGCCATATGAAAGGCAAACAATAAGCAATCTGTTTGTCCACCCCTGCAAAACGGCACTCGGCTTTCATCCGCCGGCTCCCATTTCCGCAGGTCGTGACTTTCCTCAAACATCAATTACTGTTACGTACGCCGTTTGATCTCGGGGCTTCTCCTTGACATAGTATCGGTAGGCAGGAGGGGGCTTATAGTGTGTGTGTGTGCTGAGACAATGCACCAATTGTGAGTGCTTTTTTCCACTATTTTTCTACTCTTTGTATTCTGTATAAACGATCGTGTTTAGTTTGAACAGTTTATTTGGACCTCACAGGAAATTATCTGATGCTTCTCCACCACTTTAGCACTCCTACATTTTCCAGAAACAAAACTCAGAAGGACCCTTCTATGAAATGTTACCACTAACCGATAAAACCACTGTTTGCTTTATTCGTCTGTAGTTTATCATTACATGTAGTAGCATGTTTAAATTAGATATTTAGAACATTCATTATGTTTTGGATAATTTTATTATGCTTTCAGTTACCAATAATAATTACTAATATTTAGTGCTGTCAACCGATTAATCGCGATTAATCGCATCCAAAATAAAAGTTTTTGTTTACATAATATATGTGTGTGCACTAGTGGTTGAACGGATCACAAATCTCACGTTTCGGATCACATTACGGTTTTTGACCCACGGATCGGATAATTTTTCAGATCAGCAAGAAAAGAAAAATATTTCAATTTAGAATGATTGTCGAGATTGGTATTTTGTCATAATTTCATGTGTATGTATCTGTTCAGAGGATTCAGAAGAGGATTCAGATCGGTGTTCGCGTGCCGTCTGAAATGCATGTGTGCGCGAGTAACGAATCAAGTTCCCTTTTGCCTTTTCTCTCTGGAATTGTTTAAAATTCGCTTGCTTGTGTAAATACGAACAAATGATAAACTTATACTCTATTATGGTTACATTTTGCAATTAATCCGCGGATCACATGCGTACCGAACCGTGGGGCTTGGTCCGTACGGATCACGGATCAACTACGATCCTTTTAACCACTAGTGTGCACAGTGTATATTTATTATGTATATATAAATACAAACACATGCATGTATATATTTAAGAAAAATTGTATTTGTATATATTAAATATATTTATATATAATATAAATATAATATAAATATATAAATGTATATACATGTAAAATATTTTCAAAATATATACTGTATTTGTGTGTATTTATATATACATAATAAATAAACAGCACACACACATATATTATGTAAACAATTACATATTTATATTTTTAAATAAAGCATACACACACTAATACATTATTTATATTTGTTATCACTTACTTGTTAATTAGCAGTAATTGCTGACATTTCATTTAAAGTTTTTTTTTTTGCCACTTTTGCCTGACTTTACTGTAGACAGGGCTGGCTGTGAAAAAATACTCAGACGCTCGTCTTCTTTTTTCCTTTATCTCCCCCATCCAGTCCAGTCAAGCATATCCACAACTTGTATTTTTCGAAGTATGAATAATTTGCTAGTTTATTTGGCTTGCCGGCTGTCGCAGAAATCGCAGAAAGTCGTGTCGTTGTTCATTTTCAGCCGTAAGTGCTGTTGTTAATTTTCGCACGGCCCTCTGGGAGAAGAAGTGCCCTGTGCTTCCAAATCCATGCAGAGCGTGTGAAAGTGAGGATAAAGGAATTTTCTTTGGCCTTCTTTTCTGCACTAGTTCACGTATTCCGTTGGAGGCTACATTTTTAATGAATTAGATCAAGGTGACATCCATTGTCTGAACCTGGGGAAAAAGAGACAGGACGTGGGCCATCACTTCCTCCCAACCTGATTTGTGGGGAAATTTCAGAAATGCGAGAAGGCATCGCATCGTCACTTAATGAATTACTTAATGTGTCCCTCCGTTGTTTAATTGAATTAATTAGGGGCCTAATTGGGCTGAGTGATGATGGCTTCCAGGGCTGAGGAGCCCTTGATGAGAGGAGGGTTTACCTCGGGAAGTGTGTGTGAGACAGTGAGAAACACTGGGAAATCCTCGTGGGACACACACACACATAGACACACTAGCACAGGACCACGAGCAGAGGGCCTTCTGGGAGTAGATCCCTCCCTCCTCTTCCAGAGGGCCACATTCTGCCGGTGGGCGGCAGTCACGACCAGTACTGATTAGGGACGTGCAAAACTATGGATTTTCAATATCGGTGACTTTTTGTGCTTTATCAACACACTGAGGTAATAAGTGATGAAGTCATATCAGAGAGCTTCCCTTTGACAAACTCTGATCACATGAGATGTATGTTAATACCAGGTGAGCAATTTGGGTCGGTTGTTCACTTGAGATCAGATCTCCTGAGATGGATGTTATACCAGGTGTAAAAGTGGACAAGTATGTTACCAGGTACACTAACCTCTGTCTCTGTCTGTCTGTCTGTGTGTGTGTGTGTGTGTGTGTGTGCTGTACAGGTCTGACAGCAGCAGCCATGGCTGAAGCTATGAAATTCCAGAAGATGAAACTGATGGCCATGAACAACATTCACGGAGCAGGAAGCCAGAACGGTACTGAGTCGGAGAACGAGGAGCTGAACTCCAGTGCAGGTCAGAGTCACACACATACAAAGATACGCAAAATTTTGATTGAAAAAGTATGACTCTTCATATATCTATCTATCTATCTATCTATCTATCTATCTATATATATATATATATATATATATATAATTTTTTTTGCAAAACATTTTTAATTATATGTAATTATTATATACATTACGTTTAAAAGTCTGGGGGTCAGTAAGATTTTTCAAATTACTTTTATTCAGCATGGACACAATAAATTGATCAAAACAAATCAAATAAATTATACTATTTTGAAATTTATTTTTATCAAAGTCTCCTAAAAAAGCGAACCACAGTTCCACAAAAAAAATAGATAAAAAAATCAATAAGTAAAAAAAAAAAAAAATTGTATATATATTATTAATAATAATAATAATAACAAACTGTTCTTAACAGTTGCAGCAAATCAGCATATTAGAATGATTTCTGAAGGATCATGTGACACTGAAGTAATGGAGTAATAATGCTGAAAATTCAGCTTTGACATCACAGGAAGAAATTACATTTTAAAATAAACTAAAATAGAAATTGTGATACAATTTCACAATATTACTTGTTCACATAAATAAATAAATAAATCAATAAAATGAAAAAAAAGCTTTAGTGACTTTTTCTTAAGACTGGCCAACCCCAAACAGGTGTGTGTGTGTGTGTGTGTGTGTATATATATATATACACTGGGTACGGAGAGTATTCAGACCCTCTTAAATTTTTCA